GGGGTTGCACTTAACAAGTGTGTTTGTGATTCTTATGAAGAAGTTCTGGCTGATAAAATCAGTTAAAGGTTAAAATTTTCTGGAAGGTGAATCCTTTCCTTGCAAGCTGGCTATAAAGCCCTGACTAAGGAAATACCTTGTACATATATTCTGGGTCTGAGAACCTGCCAGCCTTTTCTGAGTGAGATCTCAGAGATGGAGCAGGGACTTGGGCTGCCTGTGGGTGTAAAGAAGGACTCACTGCCTCGTTCTGTCAGTTTGAAAAGTGGCCAGACACCAGAATGTCATTGTGGGTCTGAGGAGACACGGGTGTAGATAAGACTGTGTTTTTGCTGATAGGATCTTAGGTCTGTGTTAGACTTTGTACCTGCCACGCGGGAGTCGCTGTCTGACAAGGCTGCTCCTCTAGCAGGGCTCTGCTTCCCGACTGCTAATTTTATTAGATTGGCTGTGGCTTCCTCACAACCCAACTTCCTAGAAATTCAAAATTGATTTCTGCTCTGTTGTGGGAATATGATGAAAGATTTTGCGTGTCTTTGCAAAAGTACAGTTCTGTCAAGTAGTCGCTGACACCCAGAGCCTTTTCTGACTGGACAATATTTGGTAGGATATGGAGAATATGTGGATTTGAAGTTTCTGTGCTTCATGTAAAGATTCCAAAACAGACACAGCTCTCGTGAAGGAGCAGTTTTAGCAAAACTCTGTTTAACCACAAATGCTCAGGCTATCCTGTCTTTAAGCCTTGCCAGGTTTTTACCTCTTTGTGGTCACAAGATGCATTTTATCCTTTAGCAAAGCAAAGCATTGGCCAAAGCACATGACATTGGCCATAAATTCAAGTCACCAGGTATTTGGTCTAGCTCAGCACCATGGTAATGCTTGTAGCAGTACATACTGCCTATTTTCAAGGTGGATTCTGTGATCTTCTCTTTTTCTTTCCTTCTGCTAAAAGAGTTTGACAAATTCCCCCTGCAGAAGGAATAAAAATATTCCTCCTAGCAGAGTAAAAAGCCATGACAGGAAGTTTCCATCAGCTTAGGGCTTCTAGCAGAGGAGCTTCAGTGTGGAGACAGGCTGTTTCTGCTGCTTGAAATTACGCTTGTCCTCAGGTGGGCTATGAGCTCCTTGAACTAGAGTCCGAACAACAGCCAGCTTTTCCTTGTGTTTGACTCTCAGAGTCAACATCTGGCTGTTGACAGCAGCCTCAGCCCGCCATGGACTCCTTGTTTTCCACCAGCTCCCGTTCAACCTCCTGCCTGATTTTGTGCTCTGTGCATCACTGTGTGCAGGGCTGCACTATCAAACTGTTGGTTGTGGACGTGCAGGTAGAATAATGATCCATCATGAAGGGACTGTTAGGTACAAAGGGGTTCTGAGATGGCCTACGTAATTTTAAAATTAGCTTTGTTTATTTTATTCCTTGTGTTTAAAATTAGATTGTTGACTAGTGGTAGAAAATACTAGGCCTTCCTATTGAGGAATGTGCAGGAGTAATGAAAGAAACTCATTCTGGATGGAGCAGACTAACCTCGCTGTGTTTCAACTGACTGAAGCAAATATCAAGACGTTAAAGCAAATGTTCTTGGTCTGCATTGTTGCTTGAGCTGGACACCAGAGGGTCTGTTTAATTTTGTTTCAGAGAATCATTATCAGTGGTTTCTATTAACTCCAGCTTCTCTTTTGTTCAGACCTGTTCAGTTTTGAGTTGGTTTTGGAAAATCTAAGGGAAAATTAATAGCTGGAGAGGTTTTGTACCCAAACAAGGTGATTTTCCATGAATTTGATGAAAAAAAAAATTCCTAACTTCTTTTTAGTAAGCCATAGTTGAAAGATAGAGTTTGTGATGAAATCTCAAGCCATTCAAGTTTTCATATAGTTTCAGACTTACTGTTTAAGTTCCTGCACAGATCGAGCCATGGAGTTAATATATATTTAAATCTACATGCTTGCTACTCTCTTTGCTTAGCGTTACAAATTTAAGTCAAACCTAAAAAGATAAAGGTATGCTTAATTAAATCTGCTATGTGTTTCTTCATTAAAAAGAAATGTGTTTCTGTTTGTGTGATTTGTATCTGCTTTTCAGAAGCAGTTTGGACAAGAGCCTATTTCGTTGCATGCAGTAGTGTTAGTTGCCCTTAATGTTGTTGTAACTTGCTAAAATGCAAATTCAAGGTAGCGACTTACAGTTTTATTTCCTGCTTTGTGTGTGTCTCATTTTAGCATGATTAAGCATTCTTTTGATACAACATCGTTTTTCTTACCTAGGATAAGTTAGTTGATCCCATATAGGAGCAGTAAAGAATGCTGTTCCGTGCTGTATTCTTGCCTAAGACAAAGTCTTTAATTCTCAAATCTTGTTTTAGCTGCAGACCACTTGTTTCTTAGCTTTGGTAAGGCAACACTCAGTTTGATTACAGTCATTTTGCAGAAAGACTAGAGAAGAAGAAAACCACAGCTCTGGAGACAGCCTCTCTCTCACATTCAAATAGTGCCTCTCAAGGGAATGGTGAAGGCAGAAAAGCTCATATAAAGGAAAATAAAGCAGGACTTCAGAATTTCCTACTGGAAAGTCAATAAAATGTGCCTCATTTCAAAAAGTTCCTGTCACTGAGATAAGACTGTGAACTCTACGGTTATTATGTGTTGAAATAGTCATCTGACCTCCAAGTGTTCCCCTCTTGGGAGATAACAGGGAACTGTTAAAACTGGGCTGGAATTTCTTAGTCTAGGAGCCAGAGTCAGGAAATCTTAGTAGCAAGTGGCAGGTATGTGCCTTTTGAAAACTTTGGTGCAGCAACTGGCTGATAAAATGGGAAATTCTCTGTCCTTGCCCTAACAGTAAGGAGCGTGCGCTTGCTCAAATTACATTATAGCCAAGCATTCAAGTGAAGTGCAAAACTGTGAATAAGGCAGCACTTTCTATGAAAATAAACTGGTTACTGGAGGTCGATTCTACATTTCCAAAGGGTCATCAATCTATTGAGTCCTTTTCCGAAGGATTATCCTTCAGGGAGATGCTTTGATGCGTGCATGCCCTTTCAGAACATGCAGTGGGTCTGATGCCACCTCAAATGCCTCAAGTATTAGCAAGCAAAAGAGTGGTAATTTGAACCTTTTGAGCCAGTTCTTATTCATTTAAACATGAACTGTTCTTTAGAGATTCTCAGCTTGAATCCTCCCTTCTGTTCCGACACTGCTTGGGCTTGCTGAGCTCCAGGCACGGCCTCATTATGCTCTAGTGACTTCAGCTGCAGAACTGTGACAGTCCTCACTATTGTAGTGAGACCAGCCTGGTATGGTAGCGTTATTGCTGGCAGGGGCTTGCAGGATCAAGCTTTGTATATGAACAGTTCTGTCAGGAAACTGTCATGTGAGAGCTTTAAGCTTTGTTATTTATTATGTTTTAATTATCTTCTTGCAGTGGCCAGTTTGCTATAGTGAAGAAATGCCGAGACAGAAGCACCGGCGTGGAGTACGCTGCGAAGTTCATCAAAAAGCGCCAGAGCCGGGCCAGCCGTCGCGGGGTGCGACGCGAGGAAATCGAACGGGAGGTGACTATCCTGCAGCAGGTCCTGCACGCCAACATCATCAAGTTGCACGACATCTACGAGAACAAGACAGACGTGGTCCTCATCCTTGAGCTGTGAGTAGGGGGCTTCCTACCCTCCGGGGCAGGTGGAGGAACAGGACGAGGAGCTGAGGCTGCTGGAGATGGGACAGTTGTGTCATTTGGCCCCCCAGCCCTTGGAGGAGGATTGGCCAAGGTCACTGGGAAGCGGCTCCCCCAGCCCCTCCTGTGCCCCAGGGGACAGGTGCCCCTTAGCATCAGCTGAGGCTTTTGCTATCGAGCCAGGGTAGGGGTAAAGGGGCTCTAAACACCCAAACTTGGTGTTCATGTTTAGATACAGAAGAGACCTGACCGTAAGGAGGGAGGTGAAGGTTAACTTTTAAAGAAGAAATTCCTCTCTCCAGTTTAGCCAAAAGAGCTGTGCTCTGTGTAAACAGCATTTCTGCCTCCTGGCCTGGAAACCCAACGTCATTCAAAGTGGCTTAAAGATATTGCTATTTGTGTAACTTCAGCCTCTAACGGAGAGGCCGAAGTAGAGGTTTTGCAAGATCACACCAGAGCTTCAGGTATTTGTGTGTGTTTGTGTGGCTCAACTTTCCTATGATGACATGGATGGTTGTGTCCCATCTTCTACTGACACCTGAAAGTCAGGAGAAACGCGGATGTTGTTGCACAAAACAGTGGGTAGAATCGTGTGCTTGTCAGAGCCAGAAGTGGAAGTGGTGGTTCCGACAAACTGGGTCTTGCTGGTCAGGGTGTACAGTCCTGGCCAGGGGGGTGAGGGGTGGAACTTTCCCCGTAGGGAATGGAGAGATACATTTTGAGGGACTAGGTCCTGCTCTTCTGAGGAGTCAATATAACCCTGAGTTTTAGAGAGGCTATGCAGAAGGTGACATATTGATCCGTCAGTCCATGGCACGGGCTTACATGGCTGTGAACAAGGAGCTACCCTGAGGTCCTTCACTTACTATAAATGTTTAGATAATAAATAATGCATTTTTTGTGAATTTATAAAGCAGGACATTTAGAGATACCAGGGCTGAATTTATGTTCACCATGTGTTCCCCAGGGCACCTGCTGCAGCCTTGCTGTGTTGGAGTCCAGACAATGAGGCTTTGATCCCTGAGTGAGATGAAATAACCGCTGCCTTTGCAGGGGAGCCAGTGTTTAGGCCAGGGAGCATTCCTGGAGATTAATGTGACTGCTGGCAGATGGTGTATGAGTGATGAGGAGCATCTGTTAATTTTTAAGTATATGTTTATGGCCAAATATATTGGTCTCCCTAGTCAGGCTTTGGGGGACAGGAAAGGAGCTTGCTACTTCTGACTAGCAGCTGTTTTGGGCTAAAACAACCTCCTGTGTCACCAGCTTCTGCTTTTCTGTAGCTGTAGCTTCTTGCCCTTGCAGAGGGCTGGATGCAGTGAAGCTTTGCGCTGTTTTAAGGCCACTGCATTCAGCTGCAGGACAAGAATTAAGAATTGCCAGGCTGGCTCAGGACTTGTTCTTACTTTTTTTGGGTTGTTTCAAATCAACCAACCAACCTACAACCATGGAAAAAGAGGCAATGTTTCCAGGGTCCTGAAATGCCCAGCGTAGAAGGAAAACTGTTTAGTGAGGGCAATGGCATTGCTAAGACCCTTGGTGTCACCTGAAGTGGCAACTGCAGTCTCTGGGAATGAGTGAGGTGAGTAGGAAGGAAAGGCAAAGAAACACAGCAGTTGTGCTGTATCCCTGGGTCATCTCAAGATTATTTTTGTTTTTTTGGCCATTTAACCATAACTAAAGTATCAAATGACTTCTGCCCAGGTGAAAATGCTTCATGTCCTGCCTCATGTTGTCTAGAAAGTTTTTGGCTACGTGGCTGCCATGAAAAACATGCAGTAAACAGCACTGCTGCCAGCTGGAGCAGGGTAACCGGCTGCCTTGGGGCAGCAAGGTAAACTGCCACCCGCAGCAGCAGCACAAGCCAGGAGCCAAGGCCGAGGCCTCTGTGACTTCTAACACTGGCTTCTTGTTTGCATTGACTTCTCCCTGCAGTTTTGGTAACTGTTCAGAATAGTTTGCTCTGAAAGAGGCAGAATAGGGAATCACTGTTTAGTCACCCCGGTGTTGTGCAGGAGCCCGGCCCAGATGTTACCCAAACAGCCGGCTCTGACTTGTGTCAGCCGTTAGTGACCTTAAAGCATTTGAAACTGCCCGTTTTTTATTGGTAGGTTGTCAGACAACAGGGCCAAAAACTTGTGTTCTGAAGTGGCTTTGGATGCGCTGAGTCTTTTGCCTGTGCTCTGAGCAGCCAGCCCAGCTGGTGGGAGATGCATCAGAGCCCTGAGACCTGCCTGACACAACCGCTTCCCAGGGGCTCCCTTTGAATGGGGAACTGGTAACAATAAAAGTGACTGTTGTTGTAAACAACAAAGCTCCATATGATGGCAAATTTAGTATCCGGAGCATCCTTTTTCAACATAGGTAGAAATAGAGCACTCTAGCTCTCAGTAAAAGAGATAAAAGTAGGAACAGGTATAATGCACTGAATATATATGGAATGTATTCCAATTTTGATGTGAGTACTCACAATAGTATGTAGTAATCCTCCACTTCCTTTATTTGGGAAGAAAATTTTAAGGTACTTTCCAAGATACTGCAGTCTGCTATATTTATAAAAATTCAGCACAAGATAAATGCTTTCCTGTCAGTTATATGTCAAGGAAGAGTCTGCAGCAGAAGCTTGCAAGGCAGAAGATTGTAATGGAACCAGATTTTGCTGGCAGATCTACTTGCCTCATGTTATTGATGGCGACAGAGAAGCAGTCCTTTAACATGTCTGTAAATTCATCAGAAAATGCACCTCTTCTTGGTCCATTATAATTCTAGATCAATTAAACCTTGCAACATCATTGAGTTAGAGGAAGATAACTCTCAATTTACAGGGGAGGAAAAGCTAAAAGGAAGTTTTGGCAGAGCTGGGACCAGAACAGACAACTCTTGGGTTGCCTGCAAGAGTGGCCTTTTCCACACTACTTTAGAGGTTTATTTCCACTTCAGTTTTTGTGCTTATGTTTATTTTATGACTTACAATGCAGTAGGTAATGGGAAGTTTCCTGGTGTGTTTTGCAGGGTGTCTGGAGGAGAACTTTTTGACTTCTTGGCACAGAAGGAGTCTTTGAGTGAAGAGGAAGCAACCAGATTCATCAAGCAGATTTTGGATGGTGTGAATTACCTTCACTCCAATAAAATTGCTCATTTTGATTTAAAGGTAAAGATGCTGACTTAGAGCTTTTGTCATTGTCGTTTAAGGACCACAGCTTCTACAATTTGTTGAATACTTGCGTGTGATAATATGCCTGAAAGAACAGGTATAGTTATAAACCATCTTAAATACACTTTGCAACAATGAGAACCAAGGAGTACAATTTTTTCCATCAGGCCTGTAATAACTTTAGGATGGGCTACATATTTACTGACTAAGAAAATCTGTCTTGTCTTTCAGCTAGTATGGCTCTTACTGTGCATTGAGGGATCCTCCAAAGCAGGCTGTTTTTTCAGGGTGATGCACAGAAGTGCCTTTCTGGGACAGGGGGAAGAGGCCTATGAAGGGCTGTTGTTCCTTCTAGCCCCCACAATGTTGAGTTACACGAGGGGCTCGTGTCAACTGCTGCAGCTTGGGTAGCAGAAAGACATCAGGCTTTCCTAGCAGCTGAGGCCCTAGGGCGCACATGAGAGCGGTCTCTTGCCACCACATCAGGTGACATCTCTGGTTTGTGTCATTGCCTTTCGTAGCAGTAGATGTGGCCTGAATAATGCACAAGAGACAGTCTTTCTTGTTTTGACTGTGACCTGCCTAGGTGAACGTGCTTCTCTGAAGCTTGAAGTCTGTCACCCTTGGGGATAAGACTCTTGTGACCAGGAGAAAGCACTTTGGCAGTAACAGTCTCACAGCTACAGAAGTGGCTGCCTCAGACACGGCTGCTTTCAGTTCAGCATGCACTAATTCCCTGGGAAAGCAGAATAAAAACAGGCAAGAGAGTTTTAAAATATTTTAAACTGCAGGGGGAAATAAAGGAAGAAGCTGTAGTGCTAGATCACATATTCCTTGTCCTATCTTTAAATCCGGGATAGTTTATTATTAATTACTACACTAATGCATGTGCTATGGATAGACTGTTCCCATATTCCCATGATATATGTTCTGATTCCTTGTGCTAAGGGTGTGCCAACCCCAGTCTAAAAGGGCTTGTTGCTGAATTAGCATTTATGTCATATATGTAGATGTTACAAATGCATCTAACCTAACAAACTGTCTAGCAAAGTACCCATCAAATCTTCATTTTGGGGTGCATGTGAAAAAGCATATGAGATATATGAATGCATGCAAGGATGGACAGATACACTTGACTTTATAATTACTATGTGAATCCAGAAGTTCAAGACAATTGTATTCACTGTGTATTAGAAAAGCACCCTAATATCCAGTGGCATAAAATTATTATGAGAATATAAATAACATTTTTTTCTTGCTACTGATTCTGATATTTAATGCCAGGAATGCTAGGTGGTCAATAAAGATGTTAGAGAAAATGCAAGTTAGAAATTAGAAAGGATGAGTAGAGAATAATTTCATTGATAGCGAAAGACAAATGCTCTAAAGCATTTGCTAAAGCAAATGCTCTAAAACAAAATAACCCTCCCTGGTTTTGTTGGACTGATTTTTGAGTTCAGCCTGGTGTTAAATGGGGCATGTAATTTTAAGCAGTAATCTGATTAGAGAGGTGATTTATAATTACCTGAGCATTTGATAGGGCTCTACACGGGTTGCAGTGGAGCTACACTGACTTATAACACAGTAAAGCAGTCCAAGAGGTAGTGACTTTTGTCTCTAGCCTTTTGCCATTTCAGTCTATTCTGTCTGCTCCACACAAGCTTGCATCATATATCTAGAGTGAGCACATATGTCCCAGGTCCCTGAAGGAACCCCAGATGTGTTAGCCTGAGGCTAAAACACACTTGGGCCAATGGCTACAACCATAAATTATTGATGTGACCCCTTTCCCAGTGTGGGCCTCAACGAGAACGTGTGTTTAGCAGGAGCTGCTTGCCCATTAGGATGTGCTGCAAAGAGGCCAGACAGCTGCCAGCGGCCAATTAAAATCTTTCACTGATGTTCTTGTCTTGTGATTAACCTATGAAAGATTCATGCACCGAAGCCCTTCATCACGGGTAAATGGAACCACAGGTTACTCTGAAACCTGTGAAATAGGAGAGCAGCGGGGACTAACTAGGTCTAAGAAATTTAGTTGAAAAAAATAAGTTTATGAAATAGATGTTGTATCTGGTAAAGAATGCGGAGTCAAAGTCTGCGGTTGAGAAAAGCTAGCTTTAATTTCACAATTCCTCTGGCTTTGGCTCAGTGCTTTTCCTTATCCTGCTGTGGGAAATGCTACTTTCTCTTAACAACTTGTTGTCATACATGAGACTGGATCTTTAATTCCAATCTCCTTCCAATCTCAAGACTATTCAGATAGCAAATTCCATCTCTTTCCTGACCTTATTGTTGCAACTGTTGCAACTGTTAATTTAGTCTCATACAAGGGAGTATTTTCTCTCTAAGCAGGTTCAGCTGTGTCCAGAATCTCTCAAGAACCTTCCAAGCAGGGATAATACAGTAGGAGCAGCTGGGCTGAAATAGTGAGCTTTCTCAGTGCAAATTCCATGAATAGATCAGCAAAATACTCGGTGGCACAACTCTCTGGGGCCAGGCCATGTGAGCCTGTGTCTGCGCCAGGTGTTTGCTCTGCTTCACGTGCTCGCTGGCTGCTCTCAGGATGCCCCTTCTCCAGGAGCAGATCCTGGCCTCGGGCAAGCGCAAGGGTCAAGGTGGGAGATCTTCCAAGGAGCCCCTGCAGGCCAGGGGGTATTTTCTGTCTGAGGAGGGGACAAGATGTTCCAAGCTTTCACTTCATCTTATATCACCATGTTGCTGCGCAGATAGTCTAGTGACAGTCTGTCAAATTAGGCAACAGCAGAGAGTTGTATGAATAATTTCTGTCTCACTGCAAAAACAGAGTTCTCTTGGCTACAACCTGGCAACAGCTGCCATGAACAAAATGAGCCCAGAAGTGTTAATGGAAGAGAGCAAGGGAGACTTTGTATGAGAAAGTAAGATCTGAGAACTCTAGGCCTAAATCTGTTACTTTCCCAAGATGTTATAACAACAAATATCTATTTTTTATTATTTTTAGCCTGAAAATATTATGCTTCTAGACAAGAATATCCCTATTCCACACATCAAGCTCATTGACTTTGGTCTAGCTCACAAAATAGAAGACGGAGTTGAATTTAAAAACATTTTTGGGACTCCAGAATTTGTAGGTGAGTGAATGGTGAGTTCCTTTGGTTTGTATTGCAAGTTCTGTGAGAAAGGTGAGACATCTTTCCCAGCTCCAGAAGCGAGGCATAGGGGTGGTTTCCATCTCCTGAAGTAGCTGTTCCCAACTCTTTGGGACTCTCCATTGAATTAAATCTAGAGATCCTTTTCCTGGAACAGGAGAGAGGTGCTCTCTAATCTGATGGTCTTGTGAGAGTAGCTTGCTACCAAATAAGTACTGAGACACGTAATTTCAGAATTGAGACTGCAAAAGTTTGCAGTATAAATTCCAGGTTTGTACCTGTTGCCTGGGGCAAGTAAGTTTTCTGTACAGGGGTGCCTAATGACATGAATGTTGCTGTTAGTGCTTTCTAGAGAAAACTGCTTCCCTCTGTTCACCTGTTGAGTACAAAACCCTCAACTCCCCTTACATTTTTCCACCTGATGCTCTCTTTGCTATCTGTAGTCTGTCTAGATTGGATGGTGGTTAATCCTGCTACTTTCCATTAGAGGTTTGGGGGTTTCTTAATTTGTTTTGCTTGTACATCATGTTCCATTTAAGCACACTGGTACATAAACTCATATTTCAGCACTGCCACAGACACCTTTTCTCATCTCAGCACCTCACCTTGGTCTTTTCTCCAACATGCAGTCTTGAATGGGGATGTTTTTCGACTAGAGGGTGTTTTCCTAAAGATAATAAGGTTTGACCAGGATAGCAATGTAGGCTGGTATGCAACTTTAATCTCTTGCCTGAGGGCTGTTTCTCACTGGCCAGTAGAAACTAGTTTGAGAGGCACCAGTTAAATGTCATTCTGAAAGCAAAACAAAAAATAGGACAAAGCTCAGATTCTTAGGGATAATGGTATCCTTGTTGGGTGAAGTCATTTGTTATTGCAGGCATGATCTGTACTGTGGTTAGTCCATAACTGCCTGACCCTTATTCTTGAGTTGCATTGCGCTCCCTGTTACTCCACAGGATTTCTTGTGGACACTTGGGAATGTGATTCTTATCAGAATAATGACGTTCTAAAAAGAAAGTACCTCCTATACTTAGTTCTCTCTCTCTCTTTGTTTTCTGGGTTTTTTTTTTTTTTTTTTTTTTAAGCAGAGGTAATTCTTGACCTGCCACACATTCAGCCTGCTAGAATTACTTTTTCCTCTCAGTTGCTGATGTTTGATTAAATATCTCTTACAGCTCCAGAAATAGTAAACTATGAACCACTTGGATTAGCTGCAGATATGTGGTAAGTTTTTAACTTTTTTTTTTTTAGTATTTCCCAGGTTGCTCTGAAAAAAATCCATTTTACCACAACAAATTAAGAAGGAAGTACCTTAAATGCAATTGTTAATTGTCAGTTCTGTCTTTATAATAAAAAGGTGAGTGTTTAACATCTGCCAAATCACAGTGCAAACCTTTAATGATGCCAGTTAGAGTTAACACTGTGCCACTGCCCACTGCTGTGGAGCACTCCTAGAAGACAGCGTGTTCCTGCAGTGCCCGTGACAGCCTTATTAATGAGCCCTGCATGCAGAGCAGACCTGCATGCTCATCTGGTCTGCTGAGAAGGCAGCTGAAGGGAGTTACCCCAAGTAAAACATCCTTCTTTCTATTTTTTTGTATTTCTCATGTGCCTGGTAACTCACTGCCTACCATGGTAGAAATATCAAATATCAACCCTACTTTAATTTATGTGTAAAATTCACATCTTTTCCCTGAAACACTATCATTTTTTTTAACAAGGGTATTAGCAGTCATCTAAAACTGTGGCCTTTCTGCTTGTCCAGCAGCTGTTGTCCTTTGCGTGTTGCATACTTTAAAAATAATACATGTGATATAAAACAGCTGTAATTAGTTGTCTCCTTCTTTTTTAGGAGCATAGGAGTCATCACCTACATACTGTAAGTACAACGGCAGATTCAGTCCTGTAGAAACACCCCTAACCTTTATTGCATTAATATAAAACACAGCCCTTCAGCTGTGTAAGATGCTGCACGCAAGGTGTGGGTGGTTGTTTGTCTAGTGGACAAATTACCTTCCGTTGCCTATTCAAAATTAAAATAACCCATTTTACAGGGGAACAAAGGGCTTGTTTAACAGAGTGGAGAAAAAGCTGGTGGGAATATCGTTGCACTTGGTAGGCACAAGAAGGAGGAAGAGATTTTTCCCAGGGCTATTAGAACAAGAGCATATAAACCAGTGATGAATAAATAAAGTAGGAAAATAAAACAAGCTCACGCTTATAGAAATGAGGCTTCCTGGGCGTCCTGGGGACAAGCAGATGAGACAGTTCTGAGATGGAGCTTGGTAATTTGCGGAACTGCCTGAGCGACGCTGGATGCCTGCAGTGGAGTGGTGAGAATCAAGCATCCCAACCACTTCTCTGTCCTAACCGATCCCGTTGGAACGGGGCTCCTGCGGCCTGCGAGCGGCTCGTGGTGGATGTGGCGGGTGCTGTGGCTGGGGCTCAGCTGCTGCTGTGCCACGCCGCTGCCTTGCTGCCCGGCTTAGAGAAGGTGCCCACTAGCATCAGAGGGAATTCTGCATTGCACAGCACTGAGCTCACTGCAAGTGTAGAAGCTTGAAGGGGAGGGATGCTTTCCCAGTGTGGAAAATAAATGGGGTGGAATCGAATCCACCCTCAGGCGATGCCCAAGTCTTAGAGCCCAGCAGCTGCAGAAGAGCCATGGGCTGAGAAATCAGTTTCGGTGCAATAAAATCCTGTCTGTCGTGTGGTGCAGGAGAGAAATACCAGGGGATTCTGGATGAGCCCAACCCCAGGTGAAGACATTTAAAGTTGTCCAGACTCTTGCTCTTTATCAGCGCTCTGTGTCATGAGTGACACGTGTGCCTCACAAAATATTAAACTCTGTAAATTGCTATTTATGGGTGTTCATAGAAGTGGAGAAGAACACTTGGGAGCTGAGGAGGAACAGGTTGGAATTCTCACCCTGCGGTTACAGGGAGACCTGGGTGCCCAGGTGCTTTCAAGAGGCTTTTCAGGTGCAGCGCAGCCCTGTTTTGGAGGTGCAGTCATGCTGGGGCTGCAGCCAGTGCCAGCAGATCTCTTTTAAGTTGACTAATAAAGATTGCTGTAGTATATAAGCTTAGAAATAACCCTTCTCTACAAAAGAACAGGAAACAAGAGCATGTTCTGAGTGCGAGGAAGGGTGTGCTTGAGTGGCATGGTGTGTAATAGAAGCCTTTATGGCCCTTAACTGCCTGTAAATTTTTTTGCCTTTCATTCGGAAGAATTCTGAATTCTGAAGAACAGGGGTGTGTGTAAAGATACTGCATGCCTTAGCAAAACCAACGTTCACATGGATGCCATCTCCGGGTGTACAGGTGTACGTGTAAGGTGCTTACGAGTCCTTAATTCAATGACTGTGAGAGTGATTCAGTGGGTTGGACTGCGAGCACCCAGCCCTTATCACTGAGGTCTGCAGTTAGGTGGGGATGGTGGCACCCCTGAGCCAGGGTGTGCCAAAAGTCACCACGTCAGAGGCCGGGGTCTGAGACTCCTCGGTTGGGCAGATCACAGAACTCCTCTATGGCTGATAGAAACAGAACAGACGCCCAAGGGGAGAGTAAGTAAAACTTGTTAAGTGATGAGATTGACTGTGGCCAATGCAGTAAATCCACATGGTTTCCAAATCCAAATGGTTTCTGCCCTCAGATGTGTATTCTGTGAGTAAGATCCATGTGTGGCAGCTGGGACCTGGGCTGAATGGCCAAGGCAGTCCCATCCAGTTCTCAGCTTTCCCCCAAACACCCAGTCCACAGGGCACGGCAGGCACGGGGTAAAAGGTCTTTGGATCGGGATCATGCAAGCAAGCAGTTTAGTATTTGAACCTTCCATTTAGATCCCAGGAGTTTGAGCCCGCTGCACCCTGCAGCTTTGTTATCAAAGCTTAGACACAGTAGATAACAGTAATAACAGACCTGAAGGTTTTAAAAAGGGATGAGATCAATTTCCTTGGTATAAATAACATTTCCTGTAAAGCAGACTTTGCAAGTCAGCATTCCTGGGAGCCGGGGGAGGAAGCGGGGACGGCAGGGCAGGAGGAGCCTGCACTGGCTCTAGAGTTTTGTGGAGCAGAGGTAAATAGTCAGCCACGATGAAGGACATCAGTCACAGTCCAGAGATAGGCAAAGCAGGATGAAAGCTTTATCTAAGTAAAGACTGCTGAATGCCATGTTGTTACGGTGCTGTCTGCATTGCAGTTGGAGCAGAGCTGAATGAAATTTTGCATTGTTCAAACAGTTGGATTATACTGCAGCTAAAATCCCTCCCTTGCCTGGGAGCTCCTTTGAACCAAGAGTGGCCCTCTCCCTCTGCTGCAGCATTTGAGGCAAAGCCACATGTCTGATTTCCCCACCACGTGTTGCATGTGGTTCCAGCTGAGACTGTTTTAGACCGAACCCGCTGTGCTGGGAAGTCAGTAAATCTGGAGGGAGAAAAGCAGTGAGGGGCAGGTTTCTCCTACCCAAAGAAAATCTGTAGAAATAGCATTTCATCTGCTTGGTTGGGTAGAAGCAGTGCCTTACACTCCCAGGGACAGAGCTTCTCCTCATCTGCAGGTGAGGGTTAGTGATGGCTTCAAGGAGACCCTGGGGATGGGAGGAGCTGAGCACTTCAGTCTGTGTGGGCACACAGCAGTGCTGCACGGGAGGCTCTTGGGATGAGTCTGACTCAGAAACACAAATATAGTGAGTCAAAGCTGGACCTGTTTTTCCCAAACGGCTTTGCTGCTCCAGCACAGAAATCCACAAATGTAGAGAGAGTGCGTTACATGACCATTGTAATTTGCACTACATTAATTCGCTTATTTTTCCAATTGATTCTTTTTTTCTGGCTTATTTAGGCTTAGTGGTGCATCACCTTTCCTTGGAGAAACTAAGCAGGAAACACTTGCCAACATCACAGCTGTGAACTATGAATTTGATGAAGAATTTTTCAGCAATACCAGTGACCTAGCAAAAGATTTTATTCAGAAACTGCTGGTGAAAGATACACGGTAAGGGAAAACTCAGAAAGAGCCCTCTGCCTCTTCGATAACCCTGCTGAGAGCAGAGCCTGCTGAGTAATGTGCAAAGCTTCACTGGGAAAGCGCTGCTGCTGCATCCCTAGGGAATGGCTGCATCCAGAAGACCTAAAAATAGCTCTGTGCCTCCATCCTCTGAGTAGGCCAAGAGCTGCCACTCACCTTTGCATTCGATTTTGTTTGAAGTTTAAATAGTTGCTGATAGTTCTCAAGCTGCTGTTATACACAGGATATTTCCTATGTTTTATTTTTATTTGTGTATTATTTTTGCGATTTTGATCTGCTGTGGTTTTGTTCTGCTTTTCTCTTCTGTTTCTGGTGATTTTTTGATAGATGTAGGCTCTAACCAAGGCAAGGACCCCATTCAGCTTGGTCCCTGTCCCAGAAAGTTTATACTCTAAGCAGACAAGACAGCGAGGGAGGGCAGGAGAGGGGCAGAGAGAGGTAGATCATTACTGAGGAGCATCTGGATCATGTTATTCCTGAAAGAGTATGTTGCACTGTATATACTGTCATACCACATATGATGGAAAGTATATAATCTGTGTTTTCAACTGGTTTTATATCTTTCTCATACTGAAAAGCTCTGTTTGTTTTCCTTATTCCTAGCACCTCTTATTATAGCTAAAATGTGTGACTAAGAATACACAGGCCAGGACTCACCCCATTAGCCTTGCTGTTTGCTGAGGTCTCGCTCTGTGCACTTATACATGCATGCACATAAATGCACATAAATGTCTTGCTGTTAAGATCATCTGGACCTTGTGTGATTAGCAGAGCTTTATTCGCACTTTCCAGGAACCACAGACCTTGTTTAGTTTCTTTCTTGCTTTTAGTAAAGTGCCCCCAGAAGCAGCATCTCAGTGCCCTTACTCTTTTTGTTTCTGAAGGGTAGTCAGGCTGTTGTAGGTTTCATTAGGGGGAGAAAATGGATATGAGGAGTGTCAGGAAGAAAGAGGCAAGCTCTTCAACCAGGATCCCTGCAAGCTTCGAACCTTACAGGAGCTAGGGAAAGGTGGGGGTTTGAGGAGAGGTGTTCACACAGGTCCAGCGCTGGGAGAAATGTGGGTCAATGGATGTGAGTACAAGGTGTTTCTCATTCAAATATGTGGGTTTTTTTGTTTTTTTTTTAGGAAACGGCTTACAATCCAGGAAGCTCTGTCTCATCCATGGATAACGGTAAGAACAAATAGAGAAACAGATCTTGCTTTTCTCCGTGAGCAAAGCAGAGGTATTTCCATTCTTATTGGTTCGTTAAATGAAAATTTGATCTCTAGAATATTTAGAGACCCTAGGAGTCTCAAAGAGATTCACCCAAAATAAACTGATTGAGTCAAACCTTAAGCACAACTTCTTTTATTACCATAACTCTCAAAAAGAGAGAAAAAAAGCTTTGTCATTTGCACAAACAGGATCTTATCTTAGACTGTGCTTTGCATTTTTTGTATATTTGCCCACTGTTTGCATGGACATATACTGCATTTTGTGTATAGTGCTTTTCTTCAGTTGAAAGTTGACCCCATCCAATGTGGAAAATGCCAGTTGCTTTACCAAGTGTGATTTGCTTGCATTTGTGTGTCTGTACGTTTCTTTTCATCCTAAACATTGCTTGCCTTTATGGATGAATGTCTTATTGAAAATAGATGTGGCTAATCTCAGCATGACTAATGAGGATGTTAGAAATCCAGTTTTTGCTCTGCACTGCAGAAAGCATTAAGTGGAGTGTTTCCAGGATGGATAATTTTGAGACTTATCTGCTAAAAATTAACATGAAAATAAACTGGACCCTTTCATTTATACTTATCACACTGGAATGAATGTGCATTGCTCATCACATTAGTTTTTTATTTTCCTTTAATCAAATGCATGAAAGAAAATCTCTGGGAGCGAAGAATCTCCCACTGTTGTGGAAATTCAGGCTGCATTCTTTGATGTGTAGAGTTTGAATGACTGCCCTGTCCTGTAAATGTTCAGTAATATTAGTTCCTCTGTCTGAAGCTGAAAGAAGAAACAAAAGTCCAAGAAAACAAGAAAGTTGAGAACACACAGCTGAAGACAAAACGGCTAAGAGAGTACACCATAAAATGTCACTCGAGCATGCCTCCCAATAACACCTACATCAACTTCGAGCGCTTTGCCCGCATAGTAGAAGACATTTCCCTTATGGAGCGGGGTTTCAGCGCTTTGGCCGTGTCCCACGACTCCTTGCAGGAGGACATCGACGCTCTGGTTTCAATTTATAACGAGAAGGAAGCTTGGTATAAAGAGGAGAACGAAAGCGTGAGGCACAAGCTGTCTCAGCTGAAGTATGAATACCGTAAAATTGAATCCCTGAAAAGACATTTGCAGGATGATATCAAGACTGTAGGCACTAGTCTCACAGGCATAACAGGGAAATACGCTGATCTGCAGTGTCAGTTCGAGTCTCTAAGTCAAGAACTTTCGGAAGAACTCAAGTGGATCCAGGATTTAATGAATAGTTTTCAAATGGAAAATGGAAATGAGACCTGTCTGAATGGAAACTTTGACTCTGTGTTCAACAAAGATATTAATGAATCGGTAATGGAGTTATTAAACAGATCTTGCTGTGAAGAATTCCTTCCAGGGTTGAATCTTGATGTGGCAGAATCAAATCAGTAATGTTGGTAGACCGGGTTAGGTGCAGAGTTTGTGTGTTTTGCTGTCTGCCTTATTGTACAGCAGTTAAATTGTCAGTGCATAATCTCTACATACAAGCAACACCCACTACTGAAATAGCAATTCTGATGTATGGCACAAACCACTGACCAACCCATAAACTCTTGGTGGTTTGTAGTGCTCAAGTTGTTTTCCAAGTTGTTCTGTGAATCGATTTGCAGCGAACTAGATTATCACAGTGGTATGGAGCGCATTTATCCTTACAGCCATATGCACTGACTTCATCATATATACGACTCCTGAAGATTACTAGGTAATAAAATTGGAATGAAGAGTACTCCAGTCTCTGCTTCCTGGAGTTCAGATACCTAGAAACCTGTAAAAATCTCATAGTAGCATCTTCGGTTGGATGAAGAAAATGTCAGTGTAGACCTGCTGCAGATAGTACTATGGAGCAGATGAGAGAAATACTTACGAGGGTTGAATCTGTCCTGTAAAGCAGAGTAAATGATGCAGTAATTTAACATTTAGCAATGTGGAAAATCTCCAGGAAAATGACTGATGATGAAGAAATGTTAAGATGATCTTTTTAGGCCAGTTATGCAGGCTTCAATCTTTTAATATCAACAGGTGTTTGTTACTGATTAATCCTTTTTTTCTAAATTCAGTTATGTTTCCTATCCTGTACCAAAGAAATTCTATTTGAAAGACAAAACTGTGAATTTGTAATGAACTCATCAAATAACTGTGTGTAATTTCACTGTGCAAATATTTGTTAGCGATGATAAGCAATATCATAGACCTCTGGTTTGCTTTCTACGATGAAGATGACAAAGCAAACGGCTTAATTACCGTGTAGGATGTGAGACCAGTGTTCTTGTTGTGAAGATTTTTTTTTTTTTAAGTGTTGAAAGTAAAAGGAGAGTTGGCCCAAAATTGACTTATGCCCTTCTGTCTTGTATTTCAAAGACACTTGATTATACTGTATTTATACATGTGGATGCAGCTGTCTCATATTTGGACATAATTGTTCTTCATGCAGGATGCAATTGCTCCCTGATGGTGCAAGTAGAGAAAGAAAGAGATGCTGAACATCTGTATGTGGGAAAGAGATGCTGAGGCAGGCTCTGCAGCTGGTTTACAGCCTCTTTGCTTAACCCTGTGCAGGTGCTGCAAGGTGGCTGTTACCAACTCCTGCAGGGTGGCAGAAGGCAGATCCCTGCACCAGGGCTCACAACCGGTCAGAGGAGCTCTGTTCCTTCTCTGCCTGGACTCCCACAGAAACAGCCCATTTTTCTGGAAAATTAATGACTTAACTAGATGCAATTGTTGTTCCTAACATTTTAAGAATAATGTTTCCTGCTTTGAGATAAAAAGATAACAGGACTTTCATCCAGTTTGTAGAGTACAGTAGGTCCCAAACTGCTGCCTTCTTGTAATGGCATGCAGGGAATAGTGAAAATTCCAGGGTCCTGAAAACAATTATTTCCCAGAGGTGGTGGCAACCTGTCATTGGGCTTGGTGGAGGCAGAGGATGGAAACCGAATGCGCTCTCTGTGGTGTCTTACCTTGCACAAGAGGTAAAGTTTCCCAAAGCTCCAAGCCACAAGATGTCCCTACCAACCTGGTGTGGCCTTTCGGGGAGCACTGGGCTTCTGTGTTACATTGAAAGCTTTTCTCATGTCCATTCTGAATTCTCCTAAAATGCTTCATTTGTCATTCCTGGAGGTTCGTTTGAGCTGAAAGCCATGGGGGTTCCTGCACAGGGGAACCAGAACCCAGGATTGTTAAAAGGGGGAGAGTTTCAATTTTTAGAAAGTAACTTAAAGCCTGTAAGAGTCCATGTCTGTACAAAAACCTCTTAAGAAGGAGATTCTGCCGTTCACCAGCTGTGAGCGCACATCCTCTGTTCATGGAGATGTTCTTTTTGTACGAGTGTACTGGCACAAGGAGAAGGGGCATTACATGAGGCCACCCTGGGCCTGAGCGTGTCCGCATGAGGTTAATGGTGCTCCAACTCAGTCCATGAAGCTTGTGCTGTGGGAGCTGAAGGACCTCACTGACCTGATGCTTCCAAGAAGGTGCTTCTGATGACTGAGGAAGTCAATTCACAAGGTTACTACTTTGCAAGCTATGTAGAAATTGAGAGGCAGTTTCCAACAGTCTGGAGAGCTGCAAAACAAGCTATTCTGATTCAGTGAGGGCTCTGCTGCTGAAAGGGCACTCAGAAATTTTTCATCACTATTGTATGGCTGACATTTAACCAGTGACATTTTTTCCACTTCAGATTGATTTCTACTTTGTTTTGGTTGTACCGTGGTAGCAGTTTGCAGCATGAAGAAATGATATTTAATGCATAAATGCCCAGGTTCTGTTTTCTATAAATGATGTAGACATCAGAATTAGAAAAAGACCTGGCTGGCAATGTGGCTTCTTTAATTGCTGCTTGGTGACGTCGGTGAGTTTCTTATTGTAGAGGAAATTTCACTCTCCTTATTTGCTTACAGAAATTCCAAGGCTGGCCATCTTTAGCAGTAATACGAAACAAAAGCAATGCAGAAGATCCTATTTCTTTTTTGACCTCAGGGATTTCTACACATCTTTATTCAATGTCAACCCTTGTCCTTAATTTCCCAAGAAAATATATTGTTGGAATTGGCAATTCTGTGTTCTCCAGTTAAGGAGTTTTATGTGTACTGTCATACTCTCCCTTCAATTTGTCATCTTCAAATTGTTATCTGCCCTCTGATGGCCTAAATGTGCTGGATTTGGTGTTGAATGCTGCTAGAGAAATATTCCTCCTTTGTAATATACCAAATTTCAAGAGTCTTCATGGTGTTGATGTGGGTTTCAAACCCAAGGGCTTTCACTCGAAATGGAACTTGCCCCTCTATTAATCAGGCTGGTACTGGCTAACGACAGATCTTCCAATTCCCTGTGGTTTGGGACTTCAAAGGTGCTTCACTTTCATCAGGGCTCTGTGTTGTGGCTTTCAGAGCACCTGCCCTTTGACATCAGGCTTACACACAGAATTGTTAGGCATGTGTCTAAATTCTGTTTTTTCTTTCTTTCGATTTCTTAGTACTCTAATATTGAAGGTTTTTCTTCTTGTATTTACTATATGTTGTGGTCTCCTGCTCTGGGTATGGTTAAAGGGTGATTCTTTGTTAATATAATGTAGCATGTGTCCTGGTAACTGATCTTAAATCACATCTAACATTCCTCCATATTATGACTGCACCAAAACATCCTGGGGCAGCTCCAGTGAGGGGCACCAGTGTGACAAGGGACTGCAGTGTCTGATGGGTGAGGAGAGGCTGGGCAGGCCAGACTGTTGCCTTGAGAAGAGAAGGTTCGGGGGGATCTCATCAATGTGTACAAAGACCTGATGGGAAGGAACGAAGAAGACAGAGCCAGGCTCTTCTTAGCCATGCCCTGGACAGGAGGCAATAAATTGAAAAAGACTAAGCGTCAGAATAAACTTTTTTTTTTTTTTAACTGTAGGAATGGTCAGACACTGGGGTTGGTTGCCTGCTGGAGTTTTCATCCTTGGAGATATTCCAGCTGGGAATGGACTTGGGCATCCTGCTGTAGTTGATGATGCAGGGGGTTTGGACTAGAGATCCCTTCCAGCCTCACCCATGCAGTGATTCTGTGGAAACCTTTTGTTCATAACTTGATTCTATTCCATGAAAATGTAATATTTCCTGGCAAATCCGGTGCTGACCAAAACTGGTTATGAATTTACTTTTTTTGAGTCACCTTTTAATTTTACTTGCAATCTGCCAGTCTCTGGGTAACCACAGCAGATTCTTGCCAGTCGCAGGTTACTTGAGCCTTGCTGTGATTTGGATTAACCACTCCAGGTTTTTCTTACCAGCTTTGTGGGATGCAGGAGCGATCCAATGTGTGCTACCAATTTCTTGGTTTGGTTCTAGAGTACCGCTAGGTCTCTCAGGAGTTATTCCATATTTCACATTCATACAAATGTTCCATGCTGTCCATCTCATATCTGAAATCATGAATGCTTCAAGCTTATCTATACATCTTTGAAGTCTCCATAGCACAGAACAAGTGTTTTTTTCTTCTGTGATTATTACATCAGATTGATAGAAAAAGCCATAAAGGCATAATGCAGAAAAGACATGTTAGAATAAAATGAAAAGCCTCAGACTGGAAGGTAGCCCTTGTTCTAAAGCATCTCTGTGAAGGGCAAAATGTGCTCATCTGTCTGTGAGCAATTAAGTAGTGTGGCACCATAGCAGTGTGATGGCACTGGGCTTGTTTCTGTTCTGTCTTTATTTCTGGCCAGCATGTGCAAAACCCCTGAGAAACAGTGGCCTGCAAAGGTGTTGATGGACTGTCAACGGCCCCATCTCCTTTCTGCCAGGCCCTGGACAACCTTTTGGCTCTCCTAGTGTCTTTCAGAAAGACAGACATAAGTAAATGCAAGTTGACAGCACCATAATCCAGAGGAAGGGATGCAGGTGTGCAGTGAGAAGCACTTTGATAACTTTGCAAAGCATCATTTTACATCCTCGGGCATTTCCTTACTTATCTCCCTCTTTTGTTCAGCTGCCCTTCATCCTGTCCTTGGGCTGGAAAAGCTGTTCCCAGGCCTTTTTTTTCTTTTTTCTTTTTTTTTTTCTTTTGTGTGGATTCCTATGGAAAGGTAAGCAGAAGTGAAGGCTGGCGTCAAGTCCGTGCTGCATGATGGGCCTTTGGTGGGTCAGGGAAGCAGCTAGAAAGGGGCAGCAGCGGGGCCCTGAGAACAGATCTGCATGCAAGGCCGAGTGTGATGAGCAAACTGGAGCCTGTTTAGCATGAACAATCTGGGGAATTCTGATTAAAATAGAAGGAGTCCTGTCCTGGACTCAATGATTGATTTGTTTTTCTTCTGCTTTTACCTGTATGAACTACTGTCTCCACAGCATTTTTTTTTCAACTCTACAACAACAGCAGCAGCAGCAACAACAACAAGACACTAACGTATTTTATGTGCCAAAAGGATCCAAGCAGTAAACTTGCCATTTTTTATCTTCCAGCCAGTGGACAAGCAACAGGCTTTGGTACGTCGAGAATCTGCTGTTAACATGGAAAACTTCAAAAGACAATATGCCAGAAGGCGATGGAAGGTATGACAGCAGGCCTTAAATCCCAGTCACGTTAGGCTTCCCTAACCTGATGGGATCAGGGGCAAGCTAGAGCTTGAATGGTACTATAAAATTATAAAATGGGTTAGATAAATGTGTTTGAGTAAGTCTGCACTGCAAATGTGTTGTCAAATTCTCATTCTCCCCTTTCTCCATAGCTTTCTTACAGTATTGTCTCGTTTTGCAACCACTTATCTCGTTCGCTGGTGAAAAAGGTCCTAATACAGGATGAAAGTTTGGTAGGTACATCACACAGCTGAGGAGGACCCAGTCCATACGCGTATGGGCACACAAGCCAACGGGGTGGCAGCAGTTTGGAGCAGGGAGATCAGCTGGGCAAGCAGAGTGGGCCATGACATCCCTCACATGCTATGAGTGCTGCTGTTTGCGTTGGGCTGTTGCGATGGAAATGTTAGGCAAGGAGTTATGGGCGAGTGATTCAGTAAACCATATAGGCGCTAGCCGTGGTTTTTATATAAAGGAGCAGCATGGAGGCTGCAGGTGGTGTTTGGGTGCCATCACAGTGACCACGCTGTCCGACTAAGAAATCAACAGACTTGGAGAGCGTCCACACTGTCCCCGTGGCCAACAGGGGGATGGAGGATGGGGTGCAGTGCGGGCAGCATTCAGCAAAGAATTGACATGATAGTTCTGTTAATTCTACTTTCTTTTTTCAAAAGATGATACACTAAGAATAGTTCAGCATCATATTTAGGAGTGCAGTGTCTCATTTATGTCACTGAACTGTTGTGGCCTTTTTATTTCAGAGACACTGTGAAAGTGACAGTGAGGATCTTTCACAAAGAAACGCCGCTCAGCAGAGGAGAAGCAGCGTATCATAGTGTAATTAGAACTCCCCAGGCAGAGGAGACTTTCATCCTTGCTGAAAAAAGCAGCCTGACAACAGACCTTGACTTACTGTCTGAATCCTTGGTGTGATGCTTCTTATTTCTCAAACTGCACCAACAGCTGGAGATTGATATTAAATGTCTACTGAATTACTTTATAAAATCAGGACTCTAAATCCCCAGGGAAGTGTCACAGCACAGACAGCAGTGGAGTGCTTTTATGCGTTGTGCTTTTCAATCATACTGTAATTTATTTGTGATACCAACTGCACTCAGGGTTTCTACTGATCATCTTTTCCTGCAGCACAGTTCATGTTCACACCATGATTAAGACTGTGTGCATTATTATTGCAGGCAGGGAAATTGCTGTTGAGTCTTACGGAAATTTTGTATGCGATTTTTATTTTTGTTATTATGAATATTTGGTGGCAGATACTTGAGAGGTTAGCTCTGTGCAGTAATTACCCTATTATTGCTGTCACCCAAGAGAAAATCACAGTTGGGTGACCTTGACTTCACGGCGCTGACAGCATGCGGATCTCTGTTCCTGCAGGAATCCTGCTCGGGCCATCATTGCTGGCCAGCTGATAGAAAGCAACAGAGCTGCCATTGCTATTTAGGGAACAGCTGATTCTTGCAGCTGAGAGGATGGGGTTTGGACAGGGTGGTTTTTTTAATAAAAAGGAGGGAAACTCTGTAATGACTTACAAAGGTTGTCCTGCACCCAAATACAACATTGTTAGAGTGTCGGTGGGATGCTTCACCAAAACAGGACAGATGGACACACACATATAGATACACACTCAAGAAACATCAAGGATAGTCTTTATTAGACTTTGCTGTTATTTAACATACTGTCTGTAAACTGAAGATTCATTAACCCGTTTGCACATAACCCAGACAGGTGCTGTTTACATATAACCCAAACAGCAACAGGGGGATTGCAACCAAAATTGAGGATTAAGCACTTTCATACTGATACAACTTCTTTGTGCTAGGAAGTTGCATCATTTTAACTATATTAATTTCTAAATCAGTATTGTTCAATTCATACAAAAATGTGCATAGGCTGCGCTATTATTACTTTGAGACTTATTATTGTAATTATTAAAAGTTTTTATTTATTTTGTCATTTAAGAAATTAAAAATCATAAAGCAAGCTTGCTAGAAACAACTAGATTGACAGGAAAGCTGATTTCTCTTTTGGCTGCATGGTGGTCATCAAGGTCTCGGCTTTAGAGCTGAAGGTGTGAACTGGTGCTAAAAATTAACATCAGGTTAATTTGCCTGGCTTCCAGTTTCACTGAGAATCTAAAATAAGCCAGTTTTATTTATAGCTTTGAATCTTTGCTTGGCAGAGATGAAGAGAAAGTATTTCTGTGAAAGGAAGGAAATGTGCAAGTTGCAATGAAGAAGACGCAGAAAGTAGGATTTGAGAGGCAGAAAGTAGGATTTGAGAGGCAGAAAGTAGGATTTGAGAGGCAGAAAGCAGGATTGGAGGGGCAGAAAGCAGGATTGGAGGGGCAGAAAGCAGGATTGGAGGGGCAGAAAGCAGGATTGGAGGGGCAGAAAGCAGGATTGGAGGGAAGAGATATAAAAGGAAGGAAGGAGATGGGGAAGAGAGCAGCAACGAGGAATTAAAAGAAGAAGATATATAGGAAGTAGAATTGTGCAAGGACTAGAGAGGTGGAAGGAAGGAGAGAATTTAGATAAAGCAATTATGGAAGCAAAAGAGTATTTCTGCAAAAATGATGCTGAATTTTGATACTATTTATTTAATTTCCTTTTATTCCATGCCTTGTACTTGTACTGCCTGTGAAATGTGCCTGGTCAAGGGAAAAAGGGTGCATGATCTTCTCTTCACATGCTTTTAAAAGGCGATTTCTGAGCTTTCTGCATAATTTATATGAGGAAGAATGCAAGTGAGGCCAAGAGAGCAGTAGGTATTAGTCGATCAGGCTAAGTATTACGGATTAGCTCAAGGTTCTTTGTCAAGCTGAAGTTCTTTTGGTCGTTCCCTTTCCTCATCTCCTGCTCCCTAGATTGGCTGTTAGAAAATGTACTAATACAAGGGATTTATCAGTGAGGCCAGCTTCTCTTTTCGCAATGCCAGCAATGGCAGCAGCCGCAGCAGCTGCCCAGCAGCACAGTCCTTGCGTTTGGCACGTGCAGGGACATTTCTTTGCAGACACAAAGCTTTAGCAAATGGCGAAGAGCAGGCCAAGTATTTACAGAACAATGTTTCTGCAATTTTTTAATTGTTTGCTCTCAATGCAGTTCTCTTCCTACAAGGTTAAATAACCTTTGAAGTTAATGCAAGTATATGAGGGATTATGATTTATTTAAATTGCTAAATATTTGTATTT